CGTGATGCTGACCACTCACCCCCATCTAGTGCCGAGGTCAAGGAAGAGAGGAGCTATACCTCCACTCACCCCAAACGCCTACATGGCGTATAGTGGGACAAACTTTACTTTACTTTACTTTACAGTGAGTATTTTTTTAACCGGTTTCTTATTATTTTTAAAATCGGTAAGTATGGTCGAATACAGAATAGTGATGGCTCCTGGAGAATTAGGATGAATCATGAACTAGATTGTATCATACAGGGAGCAGATATCGTGAGGCTAATCAAAAGCAAAAGGTTAGCCTGGCTTGGCCATGTTGCAAGAATGGAAGGAAACAGGGTAACTAGAAGAGTGATGGAATGGAGACCGATGGGAAGAAGGATGAGAGGGAGACCACGGAAACGATGGATAGACGACGTGGAGGAGGATGTGAGGACGATGGGAGTAAGGGGATGAAGAAGAATTGTGAATGATAGGACAGAATGGAAAAAACTCGTCGAACAAGACCCACATAGGGTTATAACGCTATAAGAAGAAGAAGAAGAAGGGATATTAATATAGTGACATCCACACCAGACAGTTCAATTGCAACAGAATTATGAACATGCTTATTTGAAATAACAAATGTTGACTGCAGGTGAGAACAGGTTTCTGTGCTTGAGGATTTCTTCCTCTTTGCCCTCATAGAATTACTTCCTCCAGAAGATAGCGCTGGAGAAATGCATGCAGGTGAGTTATGACTGGGGCTGTTGCATAAAATGTTAAGCCCCGGTTGTGTCTACTGTATAATTTTATCTGAACAAGCAATACACATTGTTTTCAGACAACAAATTTCCTGTTGATTTCAAATATCTTAATTACTCCTACAAAATTATTTTGAAATGGTAAGTGAAATACGAGCTGTTTTAAAAGCATGTCTTGATCACTTTGTGCCAAAATTAATTACAGTAGGAGGAGAAAACGTCTGCATAAACAATAATTGAAGTTCATAGTACCCTTCAAAAATCTATGCATACAGAAACATTGGTTACTTTTCTGCAGTAGCCACTAAATTCAACTTATCATACTTGACAAATTCACTACTTCTTACTGCAAAAATTATATATTCGGTGTCTTTTGTTTTGTGTGTGTATGTAAATAGAGAATTAGACTTTACAGACTGTCCCAATAACAATATACAATTGTTCCCACTGATATCAACAAGACCCCTTCATTACCATACTGATGTCAGGACTAATCTTAACACTTTCCCCACAGATGAATATGATGCCCCTCAGGGGCCCACAGTAGTGGGTACGGGGAGTGGCACCCCCGAGGTACCTGAGCCACCCAGTGCCCAGGGTATAGCTGGGCCACCCTGTCTTTGGGGGTCATAAATACAGAGGCCTGGTCGTCCAGGTTGGGGATTGGGCGTGGGGCTGAAACTCCACCCTGGAAGAAACTATATGGGAAACGGAATATGGACATGATTTGTGGTACATGGAACACTAGAAGTCTATAAGCCCTGAGAGAGTTACTAAAAGAGAAGACCAAGTATAGCAGTACAAGAAATTCCATGCTTCCTTAACCTGGAATTTATTACAGATGATAATAATCCGTGGCGTAACAGCTCTTTGAGAGCCAAAGCCGTATAGGATGGCATTCGGTCAGCACGACGAACCCCCAGCCATTGCTAGTTTTCATGACTGGATTACGCTACTCATTGCAGCTCCCCAATTTCCTCACGATGCTGGGTTGGCACCGGTCCCATACACTGCTCAAAAATCTCATGAGAAAATTTCTTCTCCCCCGAGACTCGAACCAGCGCGCATTCCGTATCACCGGTCCGTAGCATGATGCCTCAGACCGTGCGGCTACGGCGCGGGACACAAACGCAGATTATACCAACAATTCCGTACATAACCTATCACTCACCCTCCCATAGGTGCCACCACTTCGCGGTGGAAAGGCCTAATAAGTATTCGATGAACCAGACGGCCATGATAGAGAAGTCTCACCAATGACCAACTTGCTAGCTGGTGAGGGGAAGCTAAGAGTAACCCACGACAAGTGGATGAAGCTGGCTCTTCGCAGCACTCGTAACGCGGCCAGCGTGAACGCTTTCCTACTGACAATCCTCAGTGACAAATTAGAGGCCGGGGGATGTGATTCGCCTAATCCAAAAAAGGATGATGATGATGATCTACCACTCAGCTGGTCACGTGCTCTGCGACACTGGGCTCTCTGTCTCTCTCTCACACACACAGTGACGTCATTCACGAAAGAGCCGGTGTGTATGAAGGTTATTCCGACCCTCGTTGTTACAAGGCATGTGACTGCTGTTTCTAATACAAATATAAATTAGAGAAATGCGTACGAAATTATACCAATTACGCATAAAAATGACAAACTCAGTACATGCATAGTCATCGATATTATTTTCATTTTTTTAGCATTTCACGGTGAATAATGTTTTTGTTTTTTTTTAGTAGGGAAAATCGTCTTTGATCGTTGTCATAGGTACTGCTTTGTCTTTACATATACCAAAACAACATTTCCACTTCAAACCATGTATAGCAAGGGCTTAAAAATGAACACTAAATAAATAAAAAAATAGTATTTGATGTTCGTTCAATGAAAAGCAGAAATTCTTCTCTCATATCATAGGGATGTTTGTATCGCATGCACAGCGAACGCAAAATAACTGCGAGCTTCAAATACGTCACTAAAAGAAGGGGAAATAAGATGGAAAGAGCAAGACAGCAATGAGTCTGTCTGCGCATGTTCATTTTGACACAATCAGTTGCACTTTTCATTAATGACTTTACATTACACCATATTTTGTGAAAATCTAAATATAATTTCTTTGTAATGGTCGTCCAAGCTCGCAGCCACTGAACGCCAAAAAAATTTGCCATATTTGCAGTGAGCAGTAACTTGATGCTTCGATTTCCTGCAATACTGTTCCTCCACACTGTGAGTGATTGTACTCTTTGACGAATTGTTTTATTGTTTGTCGACAACTTAAAAGAGGCAACTTTCATCGCCAATAGTTGTAGCACTTCATATTAGTCTCTGTTGAACTTTGAATTCATTCTGTTGACCCTTGAAATATTCTTTCCGCTTACCTGTAACTATCCCCTTTCATATTCGGGTTGCCTGGTATGAAGGAAAGATCTTAAAGCTTACCGATGGGTAAGGATATGAAACGACATTATTTCAGGTACCAACTTATAAGCTCCAAAAGGTCCGTTTACACGGCGAGGGTTTGTAGAATACCGTTAGGGGTTATGGTCAGGTATCTGCGTGTAAAAGGTCCCGAGAGCAGGTATTTCCCTAAACATTTTCGGGCGTTGTGCTCGAAGATGGTCGTCCAGAACTCTCGTCATCATCGACAGAGGTTCGGCCGGCCCTTTTTAAAACGTGAATGCCACACAAACGTTTGTGCACGACCCATTGCGGACTCCCCAAATGCTTGCTTTAGCATTTCATAGGTTTCCTTAGCCGTTTTGGCGAGTCTTTGGCAAAATTTGATGCACACGCCATTCCGAAATCGCAGGAGGGTCGGTGTAATGCACTACCAAAACGCCCGTAACTAAGAAACAAATGCTAATTCGATGATGCCGGCTGGCACACTGATTCACTATGAATGTAGGCCGCACCCCCTAGCGGCAGAAGCTCGTACTACATCCGGTTCGCCCTCTATTGACACAGTCTTGAAACTTTCCGATCGCACCTCGTACTTTCATTTTTGTTAATGTAATCATGGAATGTGCAACGTAATCATGGAGTTTGCATGCGTTGATATAGGTGTCAGTACACCGGGGAGTTGCGGAAAGCACGGACCAAAAGGTCAAGTCAAGGCTCAGCAGACACATTCAGATCGCAATGGCCGTACATCGAAAATATGAAGTTTCTTGAGGGAAGTATTTCCCTTCGGTCATCAGTGGGAAATGATCTGCCCCCACCTCTACAGAAACCCAAGGAAGAAGAGAATTCTCAGGTAAGTAAATATCGATACCACGTTTGGAACATATTTATTCACACTGCGATGTTTAATGATTAAAAAAATAATCAACAGGAAAGAGACTATGTGCGCACCTTTGCCAGCCATACTCAAACATCTGTTTATATCACTACACTCGTGTATACTGCCAGGGAACTTCACCAGCTGGTGATACGAAATAGCTTCTGTACTCGTCACGTATCTCTTTGGCATTGCGGGAATAATTGTCTTCCAACATTACCGAGTGGCAACATGTTTCCATCAGCAGAACATTCTCTACAAGCTTACTGAGTAGAACACAACTTTCCCCTCAATCTTCTGACGTGATTTCAGATGGATGATTCACCCAGTACAGAAGACACAAGCCACAACGACACTGCTCCGTCAGCTTCACACTTCCCAACAACACCAGCATCCATAAAGCCAAACAAGAGGAAGATATGTACTGAGAAAAATCAACTGATTGCTAGGGCCATGGAAATATTTGATTCACCTCGGGACCTCCAAAAATTTGGTGATTTTGTTGTGGCAGAACTGTGCGCACTGCGCAACCCATTGCTAATGCGGCGAGCAAAGCGCAGTATCATGCGCATATTACTAGATACGTCAGCAGCAGACGATGGGTTATCCGCGCCCTGAGCATCACCAGGTTCGTCCTTTTCTCCTGCCGCATTGCCACTGGCTTCAGGAACACCATCATCAAGTCAAGACATCTGAATATGTATTACCTATCTATCTACTTATATATGTTTGTGTTATATTAATCAATAACTGTTATTTTTATCACAGAGCAAAGAATAAACTCTAGACAGCATTTATGTTTAGTTTCCATGGTTTGTTGCACTTACCTTTAGTATTTCTAGTTTTGTTATTGCTTTGCACACTTCTGGTACTATACCACTGATTGTGCACTTAGGTATCCGAAACAAGTAAACTTAAACTTGCAACAATCCCCTAAAAGTAAATAAGTAAACGAAAAAGTTTTAAAAATTATTAAAACGATTATTATATAACATATTCTGTTACTGAAATACAGTATCCTTCATACACATCTGTTGTCAAGAAACGTAATGCGACCAACAGCCTTTCCTGTACGCTAATGGCTCTCCTCACGGTCGTATCCACGGCTCACCGAAATTGTTCTGTCTTCTCCTCTTCAAAAGAATTAAAATCACCACAGCTGCCGCAACACGTTCTTCGTCTGACATTCCGAACACACTGACCTGTGGCGGCTCTCCGTTCACTGTCATCTCTACGTAGAGTTCAGTTTTCTCTCTTTATAGCTGCTCTCAGTGCCTCGGTGTTCATTTTTTAACCTGTTTTTGTACACCCTATCTCTTCGAAGAAATATCATGTCCGCTGCTTGTATCCAACTAACATCTCTTTATGTCGCCATCCAAATTTCACATCCATATAACAGTGTTGGCACCGCCATGGCCTTATAAAATATTATTTTTGTTTCTTGCCTAGTTTTACTTCTTAGGATCCTGTACAGTTCCACATATTGCCTGGAATCTATGTTATTTTTCGTTTATATCGTTTTCATATGTATAAATTATATTGCAGCCTAAGTATTTGAAGTGTTCTAAGATACGGTTTTGATCTTATTTGAGTCTTTCCCAATAAAGGCCATGACTTCGGTTTTTCCTGTTGATATTCTGAAATTATATTTCTTACACAATTCGTTTAAATCGTATATGGAGCCCCTGTTATGAAGACAAAGCATCATCCACTGCCCACATCACCCTCATCTTGCTCCGAATTCGAATACAGCCAGACCATTGGTCCACACGTTGGCACCTTAGTGACGTTTGTGCCATCTGTGCCTCATGGCACATGTTCTGTCTTTCCATACTGTGGCTGTCGAGTCACCACTTTTCTGCCTGTTTCTTCCCAAAGTCATTAGGGTTCCTTTTTGATTTGATATGACAATACCACAGCGATTTATGGCCTTTGAATGTGAATCATGAAATAAGTCACAAGAGAAAAAAAAATATTATCCATGTACAGTTTATGACCCAGGTTTTAAATCCTTGTATTATTGAGCTTATCAAAAATAGTTCTCATTTTCTACAGCCTGTGATAATTTTCATGTCCCATCAGGTTAATTTCTGTTGTCATTAAAATGTACAAATCTCAGTATATGGAAGAATGTCGAATTTCACTGTTTTTCCATAAAATACAAAAAAGAAGTGTTCTAATTTACCAGTAGTCCTTAAATCCATTGTTCTGGTCATGGCCCATCTGCGCAATAATAGATAAAAATAAATACAATTTCTGTAGAGTCCTGTCAGGCAGAGGGGAGCATTCTTCCTCAAGTGAGTCAAAGTTCAGGTGGTAATATCTGTTCATCTCTTCCACCAATAGCTGCATAATTTCAAGGGAAAAAGCACGAAAACACTCAGTAGGAAGGAGTCCTTACATCCTGCACTCTGAATCAGCAATAATTAACTACATCTCGGACTTTGACATTTGCAGCTAACTCACTTTGCAGTCTGTAATCATGCACGTTCAAGAAGAAAACTTGAAATTCATGACAAAACTATAAAGGAGTAGCTGTAAAGGGTATAATTTAGGATGTTCTCTGACATGGTGAATTTGTAAATTGTCCCCATTTTGCACTAAGCAATGTAAAAACTGCTCCCTACAAACTCAGCTTGATAAAAATATGTTTATCAAGTTACTCTTCTTTGAAATGAAAAACATCTGGCTGTCCATTTACATAGTAATACTTTAAATATGGTAAATTCCCGATTATATGGGCTAATGACTGGGAGAAAACACATGAATAATCAAAAAACAGATAATCGAATATGTATCATATATTTTGTTTGGTGCATTCACAGAACTTAACAAATTACTTTTCAATTTTTACATAATCAACATATATTTTGAGAAACAGTCTGAAATAGTAGCTTCTTCATGTGAGCTGTTTAGTCTTCTCCATGTGGCAGTACAAATTTCACTCTCATCTTCCCCACCGTACTTCATGCTTTTGTTTCGCTGCATCACTGACAATATCTGTCTGGCATGTGTTCGAAGCCGAGTTCACATGCAACATCCTGTAGCCATTCTTCAGTGTTAATTGTTGATGTTTTTGAAACTACTCACAGCGCACAATTTTGGACTTGCTGATCTCTTCTTTGCATTCTTCTACATCTGAAGAAAGTTTCCTCCACATTCAAAACAATGTTAACTGGATTCACGGAAGACAGCCTGAGATTATGCCATCATTTTTTCCCCATAATCCTATTATGTTGTCACCTTCATCAGCAAGAATTCTGAGAAGGCCAGCGTGATAGCATCATCTTATGAATGCAATTATTTGTAGCCGCTCATCAAAGAATCATTTGATATCAAGTTATAATTCCATTAATTTCTTAATTAATTTACATGTTTGTTTTTACTAGTCATTGTACAGTTAAATATTCTATATTGTTGGCTTTTTGTGCATTTCACACTTAACAATGGAAGTGGCACATCCGCTTCTAAGTGCCAAGTTTACCCCAACTGCTAGATGAGAAAGATATGAATGTAAGTATTTGTTTTTGTGTTTAGATTTAGATACTGATCCTTTTAGTGAAATTTGTATCTTATTGCACTGTTTGCCACAACTGTCTGAACAGAACTTTCAATGTTCTTGAAGAAAATGAGTGGTGTGTCACTGAACCCAGGGCCTTGAGCCAAAAGGAAACCTTATTTATTTATACATATTTCTTGGTTATATTTTATAACTTTATTAACCAATGAGGAGTAAGAGATTTACTCTAACTATGTATCCTATTTGTAATTTGTTAAGTTGGCAGGAATATTCACAGCTCTCCTTTGTTTTGATTTCCGAAGTAGTCACAATGCCAATGCGGTTCCATTCTGTTCTATTTAATTAGGAATTATCACCAAATTCTAGTGTCCCGCGCCGTAGCTGCGCGGTCTGAGGCTTCATGCTTCGGACCGGTGCACGCTGGTTCAGGTCTCGGGGGAGAAGAAATTTTCTCATGAGCTTTCGACCAGTGTATGGGACCGGTGCCGATCCAGTATCGTGAGGAAATTGGGGAGCTACAATGAGTAGCGTAATCCGGTCAGGAAAGCTAGCAATGGCTGAGGGTTCGTCGTGCTGACCACACGTCACCCTATATCTGGTTGGATAAACATTCACCTCTGCTTAGGCATGTGAACGTGAGGCCAGCAGCCAGCTAGTTGGCTTTGGCTCTCAAAGGGCTGTTACGCCACAGATTTAATTTTAATTTTATCACCAAATTCTAACTTAAGAAATTTAGTGTGTGGAGTGTAAGAGGTATATGCACACATCATGGTATAACTGCAACCAACTTAAGTTGATAATGTAATCATTATCAAGGCATACATCTGTCACTGTTGTAACATAAATGTGTGGTTACAGTAAATAAGAGACTTCTACAACATATTGCATTACTTGTTTAACAGCTAGCTGCAAGCAGGCCATGAACATGACCAAGTTTCATCCTACCAGAGAAACCAAAGTCGACTGTGTTAACCCTTACAGATGAATCCAACGTAACCTTATATATCACCGACTATGACCATGACAGTCAATTGTGAGCTAGTGCACACCTTATAAGGTAAAATGAAGAGTAGTGGTTACAAACTCAATCTCTAACCCATAATCTTTGGTTGTCACCATTCTCAAATTCTTCAGTTAACTCAAGGTTCTGTTTTAATGTCAATACAATTTTCTCAATATTTCCAGCCATCCTACATAAGACCCACAAGTGTTAATTATAATTTTCACCCAGAACTGATGTACAATTAGGAAAGGGTAGTTCATGAAGGAGTCATTCCAAGTGAATGACTTACGCAGCTCCTGGAGCTGTGAACAATGTAGCAGATGCCTCACTCCCTGCCAACAGGAGTCATCAATGAAAAAAACAACTCCAGCTTACTCAAAAGTTGCACTGTACATAATCTGCTCCATACCAGATGTACACTATATAACTCAAGTGAAACACATTTACTGTTTTCCCAACAATTTATTTTCCTAACTACTAATACAATGTTTAAGTCACCCACTCACTCTAGGGTGCAGGATATTCTTGGAAAAGTCAATTGTATACTCAGCTTGTCAATGAATAACCCACTTTCTTTATGGAATGCAAAGGTTTATCACCATGTTCACAAAAGCCTGCCACCAGACTCTACCCTGAGCTAGCTGCATCCAGTTCACGCGCATGCCGCATGTCCCGCCCACCTCATCATTTTTGATTTAATCACCCTAAGAATATCAGGTGAGGAGTATAGGCCGTGAAGCTCATCATTATGCAGTTTTCTCCATGATCTGTCTTCCTCCAATTTAGGTCCAAACGTCTTCCTCAAAACACTGTTCTCAAAGACCCTCAATCTATGTTCCTCCCTCAAAGTGAGAGACCAAGTTTTGCACCCATACAGCATGACGCAAAATTACACTTTTGTATATATTTAGAATCGAAAGAATCTTTAGTTTTTTGATATGCAATGGGAGGACAAAAGATTTTGGACTGAATGACAGCAAGTATTCCATGAATTTACTCTGCTCTTGATTTCGCCATGAATGTCATGACTTGTTAGTGTCGTCCCTGAATTTTACACCTTTTTGGAATGATTCATTAGCTATCCATATGTTCTGTCTTGAATTCATATACTTTGTCTTTTCTGCAGTTATTTCTAGACCAACATCCCTACAATCCCTTAAGAGTGTTTCTGTGTTTGCCTTTATAGTATTTATGTTATCGCCCAACAGATTAATAAAATCAGCATAGACCAAAAGCTCATGTGTCCCATTCAATTCCAAACCGCCCTGATTTTCATAGATTTTCCTGCTGTCATATTCAATGACAAAATTGAAAAAGAGCAGTGACAGAGTTTGAGACCATTCTGAATAGGAAATGTATCGGACCAATGTTTACCTATACAAATTCTGCTAGAGATTGCACTTAAACACGTTTTAATTAGCATGATGAACTTCTTAGGTACACCAAATCCAAGCAAAATGTTGTAGAAAGCATCTCTTTTAACTGAGTCAAGTCTATAAATAGCTGATGGACTGTCCCACTGTACTCCCACTTTTTCTCTATAATCTGGTATGTGTACAACAATTTCATCAGTTGTAGATCTACTACAATGGAAACCACACTGAAGATCCCCAGTAATTTAATTGGCATAGGGAGTCAGCTTCACCAGAAGTTACATATAGGCAGATGACAAGAGGAACATTCCTCGATAATTGTTACAATCAGTCTTATCACCTTTCTTAAGAATTGGTACAGCAATAGATTCCTTCCGGTGCTGTAACGATATTTAACATCTTTCATAAATTAACATCACATCAGTTGTAGTTGTTCTTCATTGTAATATTCACTGAAATACCTTCTTTTATCGCTAACACAATAAAATGTAACAGATTTTAATGTGTTTGAAAAAGAACAAGCACCTCTTTCCACCACCATGACCACCAGAAGAAACTCTTCCCCCCAATACTGAAATGAAAGGTATCGTTTGACGGTATCTTCTGTAGACTCTCCCAAAACTGAACCCCCTGAAAAATCTGCACATGGATATTCAGGAATCAACTGTACCAGACTTAAAACATTAATTATTCACTTCAATATTTGATTTCAGTTGCAACTATTTTCAAAATATGTCAGAAAATCAGAAAAACTAAGCAGGCCACACAAAACACATCAGCAAGCTGTATGCAGCTTGCGAGTTGAGAACCCTTGCTTTTGAGCATAAATAAATGTATTAGTCTAAAGACATTAATTAAATAACAGTGTAGGGCCATAATTTTTCGCACACTGCATTTTGATGTCTGTTACTGAGGCATTAATAACTTACAAGGAGATGCTTTGTCTCCCTTGCTCTTTAACTTTGCGCTAGAATATGCCATCAGGAAAGTCCAAGATAGGCAGGAGGGTTTGCAATTTAATGGGACACATCAGCTATTGCATATGCTGATGTATTAATTTATTGGGGGACGGTATAAATACAATAAAGAGGAACGCAGAAGTTTTACTAGAGGCTAGTAGACAGGTGGGGCTAGAAGTAAATTCAGAAAAAACTAAGTACATGTTAGTATCTTATACAAAACAATAATTTTGCCTGTTGTTTTGTATGGGTGCGAAACATGGTCTCTCACTCAGAGGGAGGAACACAGATTGCAGGTGTTTGAGAATCGGGTGTTGAGGAGGATATTTGGGCCTAAGAGGGAAGACGATGGGGCGTGGAGAAAACTGCACAATGACGAGCTTAAAAATCTGTACTGCTCCCCCAGTATTGTCAGGGTGATTAAGTTGAGAAGAATGAGATGGGCTGGGCATGTAGCGCGCATGGATGGGACAAGAGGTGTGCACCGGGTACTGGTTGGGAAACCTGAAGGGAAGAGACCGCTGGGGAGACCTAGACGTAGATGGGAGGATAATCTCAGGCGGGATCTATGGGAGATAGGAGTTGAAGGAAACTGGAGTTTGTTGGCCCAGGACAGGGTCCGGTGGAGGGCTTTGGTTAATTCGGTGATGAACCTTCGGGTTCGGTAAGCCATCTAGTTAGTTAGTTAGTTACTTTTGTATGTCAACAGTGTTTTATTTATGCTGAAAACAGGAAAAATATAATTTTCAAACACATTGTACTAAATTAAAAATGGTTTAATCTCAAAAGTAAATGTATCGATGGATTTTGTCTTGAAACATTGGGAGTATTCCTGTACCATAAACTTCACGGAGCAATGCCCTTGAAAAGCCAATAACATTCAGCTGACCAGGAATTTTGGTGTCCTTTATGGAACATGAAAGTTCACAACAACCTGCCTATCCTGAGCCTGTTGAATCCAATCCACACATACTCCTTTAATATTTTAATATTGGAGAAGAATGCCTATGCATGTATTACTTGATTTTATTTTTGTTTAAAAAAAACTTTGCTTTAAAATCTTAACCTGGCTAGAATCATCATAAAATACTAATGAGACTAGAAAATTCAGGAGACATAATTCATGTAAGATATACCTAAATACCCATACAGAAAACATAACAATTTGATATTTTTTTTAATCCACAGTAAAATTTCTTAAATAAAACACATTATATTTTAACTTGTACCTGTCAATATACAGTTCAATTGCTACATGATTCTGTCACAGCACCTCATAAAAGTGAATCTCATGGTTCATTTTTAACATCACGCACTTCACCTTTGTGAGTCAGATCATAATCAGTTCCTTCGTACATTGCATGCTTCTTCATAACAGCCTGCAACTGACCATGTGTAAATTTCTCCTTGGACCACTGCCATCGACAGTGAAACCTATAAAATAAAGTATTTGTGGTAAACTATTATTTATTTTTATTTATTCAGTGTTCTGTCTGACAACAGGTCCATATGAACAGGATCCTTCCATCCTTTTCTCGAACTGGGACCTGTTCATATACGTTCTTGGCAGATGATCCAGAAGTGGTTTGCCATTGCCTTCGTCTGTGTGTGAATGGAGTAATTGTTGGGATGCCACGGAGAAACCGGGGAAGCCCCCGGAGGAAAACTCCGTGTTGCCTAGACCACGGCCTTGCCCAACACAAGTTATAAATTCGGGCACCGCCGGGAATCGAACCCGAGACCCCAGGATTACACGGCCAGCATTCTAACCGCTAGACCACCGTGGTAGTAATACAAAGTACTGTAATAAAATTAATGTAGATAAATTAGGCCACTGTAATTTAAACACAGAATGTGATAAGGGAAAATGTACATACTCCAGCCAGTGTGTTAAAAGAGTACCAAGTGTGTAAATTTACTATTACAAGGAAGTTTTACGAAAGACTTTTGGGTAATCTCCACTGCGTTTCCTAAAGAACGCAACTTTCCATAACTAATATAAAATTTAAAACCAACAACAGAATCTCAGATAAGAAACTAATCTGTCAAAGATGGAGGGATTACTTTACTCTGAAACACTGTAAACCACCTACAATATCACAATCCAGAAGACCAAATTTACATCTTCATTGCCATGAGAACCTCTAGTCTCAAAGATCAATTTTACACAAAAATAAGTGATTTCTTAAAATAAAGGTTAATTGTGTAAAAAAAAGCAAAGCAATTTATAAAGTTCTATAATGCACCAAACAAAACATTTTGATATATTTTTTTTATTTATGCATCTTCTCCCTTTCATTAGCTCAGATAATTGGAGTTTACTGCATGGCATATTCATTACTTTCCCTAATATGAAAACATAAGTCTTTTTGCATATATTCCATATATTTACATTTATTGCAATCTTATTACCAGTAAGACATTGTAACAATAACAAATGATGTGAATCCCACATGTGTTGCCACTCTGGTATTGCTGGTGAACAAGAAGTAAGTCAAGCCTCCTACAAATCCACTTTCAATTCCATACAAGAAGCTATTTCTGAAGCAGGGTATGGTGCTTACATCTCGACCAAAAATAATCACCGATTTCTTCTGTAATATGAAATTAAAACACTTTAACATTAAAATACTGTATTAAAACTTAAGATAATTTAACACTTAGGTTCTCAGTCCTTTCCAGACTTAGGCCAGTGGGTCCCTAGCCTTAGGGCTGAATTCATACTTCTTTACTGACCTGCTGGCTACAAGGTTATAAATGACAATTTATTGAGACATGGATTTTTATTAAAAACACTATTAAGTTTGGTGCACTGTTGCAAACAGCTTCACAAACAACTCAATAATTTTCTTTAACAAAATCAGATAGGCTATTTGACACTGTGTTTGACTGAGTAATATTTGAAAATCATTCATTTCTGTAATAATTTGCATGTATCCCTTCTAGTTCTTTATTTAATGTTCTTCAATAGGGAGCAAAATACCAAGAACATCAACAAAGTGTGTTTCCTATATCAGATAACCACTGTCATCATATGGGATGACACAATAATACATTAAATGTATATGCACATAACACATAACATGCTGATGGACTGTGGGTTTGAAATATGTCATATAACGTTTAACTTTAAGATATTATGTTGCTTTAATAAGTACCAAAGCCTTTTTTAAACATTTATTTTGAAAGGACTGATCAATGGAAATTGTCATATATAAGAAGCTTATATTAATGCTTTCAATGGTAATCTAAAACAAAAGTCTGTTTTTGTTGTATTTCTTTCACATGCATAAAATCACAGCCCACAGCTTGATTTGACAAGACATGGCAGAAATCTCTTTGCTGACATCACATTAAAAAACATTCATGTAAGAAAAGATTTGTGTGTCTAAACACAATCTCGTTAAACTGTACTGAGAAGGTTGCCATACTTACTGAATAATAAACAAAGAGTCTTCATGGAATAGTCAATGCAAATTCCAATTTCAAAAAGTTCCTGCTGGTATGAAAACCAAATATCTGTTCCCATTCTGAACCAGTTCAGTCTCATTCATATTCTTTAAACTTCATATTGACCTCTCATTTGTGCCATGGTATCTTATCATGACACAAGTGTCTAGTAAAATTTTTGATGATTTCTGTGCAACATCAAACATAGTTCTCTCTCACATGAGTAAATGGTTTAATGCCTACAAGCTGGCCCTAAATCTTGATAAAACAAATACAAAATTTATAACAAATAACTCACTACAATATGCTTAAAGTATTCTTTAAAATGGAAAGTCTATACAAATGGGTTTGCAAATTGATAATCACCTAAATGGAGCATGTTACACAGTTGGAGCTATATTGCATGTCAGCAACACTGGCAGACTCAAACCAGTTTATTTTCCTTATTTTCACTCCATAATGAAGCACAGAATTTTTTTTTTTTTTTTTTGGGGGGGGGGGAAGTCATCTAACAGCTAAAAGATATTTACTTTACAAAACAAAATTGTTAGATTATGACTAGTGTCAAACATAGAAATTCATGTAGAAGTCTATACAAGGGATTACATATTTTCATTCTCATCAAGAAAGAACCTTTGTTTTTGTGTAATTTTATAGTATGGATTGTACTTACATATATTAAATCACTACAACTTATTCCACATAATATTGTCATCCAACTAATTTATGGATGCATGGAATGTAATAGAGATGTATGTATGTTGCATTTCAACAAAAATTCTGTACACTATTTCTCTCCCACACACTACATATATAAATGTAAAATTCTGTATGACAGAGGTTCATAATAACACTTAAGAT